TACCGCCCGTAATAGAGCGGTGTGCGGCCATGTCACACCGCGTCTCATCGCCGGAGCCGCCGAACGAGTGACATACAAATATTTCTACTACGCATCTAACCTAGTCTAGTACATAAAATATCCTTCTATCATCTTCAAAAAATTCAAGTTGTTTGGTCTAGTTTTAATAAAGCTTTTGTGTTCTGAAGGGCGATCAAACACATTCTCGAGCCACTGTATGTGATATAAACAAAAGGCCAGAGTTAAGTTTGGGTTAGATCATGGTACCCAGTCGCTGCGAGGCTGCTGGCAACCAACACTAATGCATATGCTCCTAGATCGTATAATTGTAGGCAAAATAATAGTACCCGTAGCCTTTGTGAATATTCTGAAAATGCCCTGTGATTACAAGAAAAAGTTGTTAAAATCATATCCCCGAAAATATATTCCAAAACCATCAGAATCGGTGAAGGAATGGTCTTTCCTGATCAACGATCTGTTTCCACGAAATGACTCGTACTTCCCCTAATATTCTACACATGTGTAGATTTTTTCAACATTTGCTTCACGCTACACCCCCTCCTGAATGATTTCAATTGATACAAAAATGATCTATGCAAAATTTGACCTCGATTGGCTGAGAGAAAACATGGAAATAATTATTTAAATGACATAAAATCTATTTTATTCGATTATCTTTCAAGCTATTCATTGTAGCGAAAAACATGTGGAACAAAAGTTATAGATTTAGACAAGACGCATCCTTTATGTTCTATTATTCTTTATCGTGTGACAATCGGTTTTCGGACAAATATTTAAATTTGAAAATGTTTGCAAACGAGACTACTGAACATTCTCTGCAAAATGCCTGATTCAAATTAAAATATTAATAAGACAATGCTAATACAATTATGAACATTTCATAATTATGTTTACCTTTACCAATGTAATTGTGAGATCTTTCTATTTAAAATAAGACCGAATGCGGTAATTATTAAGAAGGCGGCTACCATCTACGATCTCGATAATTGTGAAATACGTTGCAAAGCTCAACAGATTGTACAAGACAAGGATTTTGTTTCCATGCTGATCAGATCAGCTTGCTGTGCCCATTGCCTGATTCGTGGTAGTAGTTTTCTAAATAATCGCCAAGATTTGCAGGAATCAGTTTTCTTTTCTTTCTTTTCTTTTGGACGACCTATAAAAAATTAATATATGATCTTTTTTACTGTTTTGTTACACATTAAATAAAACGTGAACCGCCGTGTTGACATACTTAATATTTAATGTCAAAATATACATTTGTGGGTATCATAAGCAGTTTTCATATATTGACTACGCATTGAATGTCTTAAAGATAATTTTCAAACTTCATCATGCTGTCATACATACTCCGATGCTCCCCTTTTCCGGTGTATCCTTTTTTCTTTTTTTTTTATTTTTAATTTGTACTTCCTGGCCACCTGGGATGAAATTCATAACTTCTAAATTAATCAATTTTCGACCTAAGAACGCTAATACCTTTTTAAAAAAAATACAAAGCTGCACCGATTAGTGCATAAGAAAATATACGTGGTTATTCAAACAATTGCAATGGTCTTGTTTTTTTATTGAATACAAAGCTTTTAGTCAATTTACGTTATTGCAATTTGTTATTACCTGAATACTGACTAAGTTTAATAACTCTTCATAACAATATTAAGGGTACACTTGAAAA